GAGTATCGTGATTTTAATATATCTAATGATTATCTAGTTGTTATTCATTAGATATTACAAACTACTGTCATCAAGTGTCTAGGTAGAGAGAGTATAATGAAGATAAAATTGTCTTTAAAGATAAATTGGGGTGTTTTAATGATAAAAATTTTGAAATTATTAATTATACAATATTTTTTTATAATCATTTAATTATATATTTTTACACATGAATTATACATATAATACTATCAATCATTAATTATATATAGGGGCGTCGCTAGCTTTTACAATCCCAGGGGGCTCAACTAAAAAATGCCTGCATTTGCCCGGCCTTCAGCAGGGTTTTATATTAATATATTATACTTTTTTAAAATTTACTAAATTATTCTGAATGTTATTTATTATATTTTGCATACAAAATAAACTAGCCTATAAAAATAATATTTTTTAATAGAAAATATATTTATCACAGTATAAAATATTTTCGATTGTTGATATGAAATGATTTTGCGTCTAAAGAATAATAAATGATAAAAAAGGTTAATTAATTTATATATGCCTCAATTGATAATAGTTTGTGAAAACTACATAATATATTATAATTCTTAGCAACTTACATTGACAAAAGGTCATGAAACTAATATAACTCCCTATTACCATTTTAGACAATGTTTTATAGAATGGACTAATAAGAAAAAATTTATAGACCTTACCAAATCTACAATTCTTGAAGAAGATAATATAAACGACCAATCCAAATCATAAAACTATATGGTGGTTAGAGCTTCCTCTTAGATAACATGATGGAAGCTATGTATGACATTAAATTTCTTAAAGATTATCTTCCTTTTTCAATGTTATATAAACGATTACACAATTGACCTATTGCTTATCTAAAATATGCGACCATATGCTCTTACTCTCAGCAGCTGTATTAATAATCTCAAATTACATAGCCACACAAATAATAGATGCTGGTTAATTTGCAGTCCTATCCATGACACTCACGATGGTAACCCATCACAATTTATTCTGTTAGATAAATTGATACAACAAAAACATTAAAACCTTTAGAAGAAATTATGCAAATATATTGAAGCCTTGAGTTATTTACATGGCAAGGATGCCATATTAGAAATGAAACATTTCGTAACTACAAAATAAGAACCAGAGTGATATCATGAAAGCAAATAAGATTTTATATATTATTGTCGCACCATCTATAGTTGGTATATTTATATTATATCCAATTATAAAGATTTAACTCAAATCTATTTTTCGAAGAAGAAAAATATAGCTCCTAAAAACACGTAAAAAAGAGAAGAAAAGATATCTAATTTATTACATCTATTGTGGGATGAATTATAATACGTTTAACTTTAATTATATTTTAAATAAATAGATGGCGTTAAATATTTATAAGCAAATTGTTACTTATATTTATTATCAAAAGCATTTTATAGTAAAATTATAAAAATATTAACTGTAATATATTATATAACTGTCAGATACGTCTGTAAAAGTGACATTTACCTAATATATAAAAAATTATATATAATAGAGGATTATATACAATATGTCTACATAACTTACTTTTTATAAATAAATCTCTTATACTTATTTGAATTTGGACCTTGAAAATAATTTTAGGAACAGACATGATATTTAAATTTAAAAATCAATAATATAGTTGATTAGTGATTTTGAACTCGGCTAAAATATTAAATTATAAATTTTCAATTAATAAATGATTATATTTATTAGGGTTATATAATAATTTAAATACGGTATGATGACTAAACACTGTCTTGCTAAACTGTCTTGCTAAACTGTCTTGCTAAAAAGAAATTAATAATAATCAATCATAATTTGATGATATAATATCTTAAAAAAAATTTTCATTTTTATTTTACATAAATCAATTTTTAATTAATTAAAAAATTGATATTAAATATCAAATAATTTAAAATTCTATTTTTACTTAATATTATTGGAAAAAAAATATATTTACTAGCTTATTACAACTTAAATTTTATTTTTCAATTACAAATTTAACAAATTTATATCCATAAGAGGGCGTTAAACATAAATATAAAAATAAATTCTTAGGAAACCAGAATAAATATTGGATAGCGCTTTTTTTTGTATTTGGGTGTAAATACATATGAAAAACCTAAAAAAAATTTAAAAATAGTGGTTTCTTTGAGATTTAATTAATGAGTAGGTTTAGAATCGAAAAATAGTAGAAAGTTTGTAAGGAACTGCTGGCGTTATTGATCAAGATCTCTTCATTTTTGGTTTATACGTGTATATTTAGGTGTTAAACATTATCCTAAAAAATATTTTGAAAATATTATGATTTGACGGAATGCCGAGCTCACAACCGACCACTTACTAAATATTCGATAGACCAAATTTGGTAGTAATATTATTTGGAAAATGTTCATTTTTGGTTAATTTATCTATAAATACGTGCAAATTATTATCCAAAATATTTTATAAATATCGTGATTCGATAACCGATTTGAAACCGAAATACTGCGTTGCTGGCGCTCTCCATGGAAAATTCTTCATTTTATAAGTGAACAATAAGGTGTTAAGCATTATCTTAAATAATATTTTGAAAATATTAAGATTTGGCCGAATGGAGCGCTCAAAACCGACCACTTACTAAATATTCAATCTACCAAATTTGGTAGTAATATTATTTGGAAAACGTTCATTTTTGGTTAATTTATCTGTAAATACGTGAAAATCATTATCCCAAAAAATATTTAAAAAATATGGTGATTTGACCGATAACCGATTTGAAACCGAAATACTGCGTTGCTGGCGCTCTCCATGGAAAATTCTTCATTTTTGGTTTATTAGTGAACAATAACATGTTAAGCATTATCCTAATTAATTTTTTGAAAATATTATGATTTGACCGAATGGCGAGCTCAAAACCGACCACTTACTAAATATTCGATCTACCAAATTTGGTAATAATATTATTTGGAACCTTTTCTCTTTGAAAAAATATTTTTTTAAAAAAATTTACCATTTAATTTATATTTGTTAATTACTACGTAATCCAGTGCATACAGTATCTTTATACTTACTATCAATTTAGTTTTGAAAAAAACTTAAAAATTCCATTTTTTAAAAATTGTATTCAACGAAATATAATTTAATCAAAAATTTAATTTCTAAATTAACCCTTTAAAGCTCGACTTTTTAAAATTAAACTAAAAAAATTTTTTTATAAAAAATCATCATTAATATACACTAAGGATGTAAAATTTTATTTCGACTTTTTTTTTTCATAGTTTACAGGTAAAAAAAAAATCACGATACAATTTGACATCATTGAGCGAATTGCATGTATAAAAAAATATATATGTATTTATTATGAAATGTTTTGAAACAATTTCTATTCTGGTTAGAGTATAAATAAATTTCACATTTTTCACACTTAGTCCTTGAATATGCGCTAACACATAGTTCAAACCTTTTTCGAGTTTTGGACGCTTCTGGCTAATGCCCTATATTATCGTATCTAACTTATGATATTACCTGAAATAACCTTGAACCTTTTTGTAATTTAGGAGTTTCATTTAAAGGTCTCCCTATTTTTCTTTTACTAATTTTACCTGCCATTAATAAAGCAGTAACTGTATGAATATTAGTACCTTCATGAATATTATCAAGTTCTATGTGGAGTGCATTTGTAGGCGAATCGATGATTAAAATTATCCTCATCATCATCAATATCTGTTATCGAAATATCACCTTCAATTATAATTATTTTATAAGACACTATAAAAATAAAATATATAAATTCAATGTTAATAAAATAACTTATTAAATTCTCAATGATTTAATTTGGGATCATAATTATAAAAATATATTTAATTGTTTATATTTTTAATAATAATTTTAAAAATAAATAACTTTAACTATTTTTATTCTTATAATTTGTTAACGCCTAGCTGGCACCTAAAGGGAATGAGGGGAATAATTTTATTTTTTTGGGATATAAAATTCATTGTTTTTTATTTAATTATATTTTTTACCAAGGCGGGGGGGGGGGGAGAGGGGGTATTTTTATTTTAATTTAAGATAAATAAAATTCATTTTTTTTTTAAAATTATATTTTTTACCAAAACGGGGGGGGGGGGAGAGGGGGTATTTTTATTTTAATTTAAGAAAAAATTTACCATTTACTTTCTAAAATATTAATGGTTATATTTATAATAATAATAATATAAGGAAAGTTACAATATTTATGTTATGTTATAAAATCAAAAAAAATAACGATTAAGGAAAGAAAAAAAAAGAATATTATATACTATATCTATATTTCGTGAGACTGAGAAACAATTTATGATATTTATATCAATATTTAAACCAGGGTTGGCACGTCGGTCAATTGATCAGTTAAATTCAGTCAATTGATCAAAGGAGTATTGTCCAGTCCGACCCTGGTGGTGGTTAAGATCCAATGAATATCCTCTCATGTAGACGCTGGATTCGGCAAATAAAAGTCCAAACTTTTTTGTCACCTATGAGAACCAGGTTTACATTTTATTATTTTGACTAAAATATTAATCTTGTTGTTATTAAGAATTTACTCAAATCAAGTTGCTTAACAAAGTTATATATATTTTATGCCTATGTTTTATGGCACATATTAGATAATCAAACTTTCATAAGGAATTTTACCTTGTTAATTCCCATCTTAAAACAAATTGCAAGAAAATATAATTAATGTTTTATAGCTTTTGTACATTATAGAAATAATCAATATCATATAAAATTTTGAAAATTGAAAATCTATGAAACCATTTTATATTTTTAGTGATGTAAAACATTATCCACTCTCCCGCTGTAAAAACCCGCCAGAATATTTCCCGCCACTTAAATTTTTAAATGCAATCGCAGATAAATTTTTCAATTCGAAAAAGACCACATAATAAAGAAAATGTACATCTAAAAGGTAGTAATTTATATTTGAATATTTAATAAATACTATTAGATAAATTTTCAAGGAAGTATGTTAAATTAGATAATGTAAAAATAGATGGTTGTAAAATATTAGGTATATTAATATTTGGTTTTTAAAAAATCTAATTTATTATCCAGATACTAACCTTATATTAAAAAATCAATATGCATTTTCAACTTCAATTCAGAATTTTAAAATCATTGAAAGAAATTTTGAAATAAAATATTTAACAGATTTTATAAATGATCACCTAAAACACAGCTGCCCTGGCTCATTATATGTGTCAGGGCCACCAGGCACTGGAAAAACGATGTCAATTAACCACATATTAAATAATGTATTCCAAGTTAAATATTTGTATATAGTATAAATAGATTAATATTTTATAGAAGCATGATATTAATCGCATTATGATCAATTGCATGAGTTTAAATAAATATCATGAGGTGTTTGACAAAATCTACAATATTTTGTCAAATGGTTTAAAATTACAAACATCAAATTTAACAAAAATTATAAATATTTTTAAAAGTCATTTTCAATCAAATCCATCTAAAATGAAGTAAACTTCACACTATACTATCTTAAAATATTATTCCTTACTTTCCTCCTTAAATTCTAGCCTGATAATAATAGATGAAATTGATCATTTGAAAACAAAGAAAAATGAAGTTTTGCTTAAAGTATTTGAACTGGCATCATTAAAGAACTCAAATATTATTATAATAGGTATATTATTTTAATTATATATTTGATAATTAATTAAATTAGGCATCTCCAACACCTTAGATATGATTGATAGTATTCTCCCACAAATAAAATGTTTATCAATAACACCCCCAAATATACTAAAATTTTTGCCATATACAGATAAGCAAATAATGTATATATTTCAAAACAGATTTTCACAAGTAAGCTTTTTTTTTAGTATTAAAATGTATATTTTTATTTTATATTAAAAATTACAATAAGATAAATTTTTGATTATAAATAGTAAAAATATAAATAAACATATCTAAAAATTATATACCATATCTATATAAAATATATTTAAAAAAAAACTTTTGGGTAAGTTGGTGGGGGATTAATGACTCATTTATAAATATATTAGGTTGACAAATTTCAATCAATATTCTTATATTCTTTGCGGAAAGCAGAAACCCTCTTTTGACTTTTATTAAATGTAGCATGGACCATGTTTTTATTATTGAAGGGTTTAAGGTCAAAATGATCCAATGGTGTCTGAAACTACTGGAATGAACAATAAATTTTTAGATGGCTATATTTATTGGACTTTGTGTTTTCTCCCCTCATCATGGAGTTGGCAGAAATTGATTTGATAATATTATTAATATTAAATTCAAAAATATTATTGTTAAGCCATATAAATTAATCAACTTTAAGCTCAACTTCACATCTGTTTAGCTAATTAAGTCTAATAAAAAGTTTTAACTTATTTTTATATTATCTTATTTAATGAGTAAAATTTATGCTCAATTATGTATAATTTAATTTAATTAAACAAAATATAATTAAGGCTAATATTGACCTAAATGAAAATTTATTTGAAACATCAGCTTTGGAATTTTGCAGTAAAAAGGTATCTGCTCTAAATGGAGATATAAGGATAGCATTAGATGCCTGTAGGTCAGTATAAATTATTTTTTATATATAAACAAAATTACATTCTGTACAGAAAAGCTCTTGAAAAATTTGATATAACACCTGCAAATATTTTAACCGAAAAATCAAATAATGCTCCTAAGCATTTTGTGAAAAAGGTAACCATGGATGAATTGAGCCAAATTTTGCCAAATAAAGACATAAACCTAACTCAATACAAATGTAATTTATCTATAAACCAAAAAATATTATTGGCATCACTGATAAAGCTCATAAAAGGCAATAATGACAATCATGATGTTTTGATGAATAAGGTTTATATATTTTAAACAGTAGTTTATACATTTTTTTAAAAATATAATATAGGCTTACAAAAATTACACCATAATATGTGGCAAAAAGAAATTAACAAAAATGAGTTATCTCGATTTTTTAACTTCATGTGAATTATTAGAAGACCAAAAATTGCTCCAAATTACTAGATTATTCAATGGATTGACTAAAAAAGTTATATTCTAAACTATTTCTTATCCCAACTTTTTTTAACAATTTTAAATACAATATTCATATGCAAAGTGTCAAACCTTTTGATATATAGGTTTGGTTAAGTTTCCAGATAGAAAAAATATGAAGGTTTAGATTAGGTTCAGGCTAAGGAATAAATTCTATAAAGGTTCAGTTCAGGTTCAAAAACCTCTATTGTTATTTTTTTTATTGGAATTTAAATTAAAAGTGATTGATTGGTATAAAAACTGCAGGAAAAAAATTAAAAATAAAAAACCTGAAATTATATATTATGTAAAAAATTTCTTTTAAAAATTTACCTTAATATTTAATTGTTATAAATTTGTAGAGTTTTGAGTTTGAGACATTTTTCTGAACATGTAGAAATCTGAACTAAACTACTAACACATTTTTACCTATTATTTTTAAAAAGGAAACATAAAATATTAAAAAATAAAACTTAAAATATCAGCCAGCCTGGATTATAAAATTTTTAAAATCTGGGCCAGTCTAAAAAATTTAAAAAAACCAGATTGGCCAATTTTTTCAAACTCTTCCACAAACTTTTTTTCCTGATTACCATTACCCATATATATACAGTACAGTGTTAAGATTTAATGGAAAATATTTTTATAAATAAAATTATTTAAAGTCAAATATTTTTATTTACAAATAAATTTTTAAAAATTATCAAATCTGCACAACACTGTAGTTCGATTTTTAATAATATTTTATGATAAATATAAGGTAATAAAATACAAAAATAGTTTAAAGTTAATCCGAAGTTTTATTTTGTATATAATATTATAATTACAAAGGTATAATTAAAATAGTATTTAATATATCCATCCAAAATCTAAACTGTTGCTGTGATCGGATTAGCTATTGTTGCTAAAAGTAAGAGTTCAGATTACTCTTTCTTCCTTTCTAATATGTAAGAATATCGGTGTTTTTATTAATCGTTTGATGTTGTTAAATTTTTTTTATTGGTATATCAATTAATCGCTGTTTTGTATTGTGACCTATTTGACTTTTTATTTTTCTTTAATAACGATTCAAAATCGTCATTAAGGGTGTGAATAATTATTTTGACTTTAATGGAAAGAAGTAAATTGCCTATCATTATACATTCATTATCAAGTGCTCTACCCTAGTTATTTTCTTCATCTGATAATAATATTTGATATCGGGGTTATACTTCCTTCTCCTATTGAGGAATTTAGTGAATTAGCGTTTTATAACTAGAAATCACCTAAAGTGCATATACTATTTTTTAAACAATTGCTAAAATTTTTATAAAATGAATTATTATCAGATTATAGTAGTACATAGCATATTACATAAATATAATCGACTTTAAAATAATATCATGTATTTTTTTAAAATTATTTTATATTTATGAAATAAAAGCAGATATAACCCATGTTATAAAGATTATAAAGTTTCAGTTTATTTGAATTTACATAAATAAATACAAATACACTTAAAAAGTATTTGAATAAAATAATAATACTTTTTTTAAAAAAATGTATTTTAAATATAAAACCTATAAAAAAAATTTTAAATACTTAAATACCCAGACAAAAACCATTTGCATAAATAAATACTTTGACGAATATTCTAAGTGAGTTTTTTTATTACTACTATCATAAAAGGTAAAAGAAAAAAATGCGAAAAATAACAACGCCACAATAAACTTAAAACAACTCGAAATAAGATGTCCTAGTTTAAAAGCTGTTTATCCTAGTCTAAACAGCATTAAGTATCAAAATTAAGTCTAACCAGGACATGTTTTCTAACATATTGAAAATAGTAAATAAATAAAAAAATATTTTGATTTTAAATACAAGTATATTCGCGTTAATACCCAACTCTGTTAGCTCCTTTAATATTGTTTTTATAAAGGTTCGGCGTATTTCATTAAAAAAATATTAAATTGTATAGGTTGGGTTCGATGCTCTTTCACATGAGTTTTTTTCATTATGCAACTTAAAAATATTACTTATTAAAAAGAATAAATTACAAATATCATATTTTAAAACCAATTTTATTTATATTTAATTGTAGATTCAGATTAAAGGTACAGTTAAAGATATCGAAAAAGGTCTTCAGGATCAAGGATTATTATCTAATATAATGCAATAAATTTATCTTATATTAATAGATTATATTTGATTTTGTAGAATTTTAATATACTCATTGTAAATAAGAATAAGAACTATTTATATATTATCAAGAATTTGAATAAAATATTTTATTCCTCATTGTAAAATTCCAGCAATACTTTGAGAATAAAATAACTATTTTTAAAAATTTGTAATTTTATTAAAAGAAATTCTAATGAAAATAGAATTATAAAAATATTTAAATCTTCATGATGAATTGATTTTTATTGCTTCACATTTACTCTATTTTTAATTTTATAGTCATGTTTAGGTATAAATATTATATAGATTTCAAATGGCAGATTTGGGGTGGGGTTTCTGTAGTAGTCACCTCATTTCGGGAAAATACAATATTTTTTTTAAAACAACCTTATTTGTAGAAATAATGATTTTAAATATCTTCTCTAATTTAACATTAGATAAGCATGCATTTTATTAAGTTTAATATATGATTTTTTTTAAAATTGCTTAAAAATTATATTCTATTTAACAATTATTATCTCTTTTCATTGTTATTTAACATAAAATTCCGTCCATATAACCACAAATGGAAGTTTAAAAGAGGATAAAATGTATTTGACTGAAAGCTATATATGCTCCCTAGTCATTGTCTTAGTATGTTAAAAAAATGTATATATATATAAGCCTCAAATGTCAATCAGATGGATTGTAGACATCTGATTGGAGGAAAAAAATTATTATTTAATGTAAAAAATAATAATAATTATTATAATAATATATTTTTTTGAAAATATATATTTTTGTAAAATTAATTCGTTGATAATTTTTTGTTAAATTTATAAAAAAATAAGAAATAATAATTATATAATTTTAGTTTTTATTTTGTAAAGATTAATTCATTAAAAAAAAATTATAAGAAATAAAGAAATTAGAAAAAATGTTGATAATTTTAAATGGGAAAGATTTCCTGGGAGCATTGTGAAATATACAAATAGAAAAAATGTTGATAATTTTAAATGGGAGAAATATCCTCGGGATATTATGAAAAAATATTGTTATATTAGTAAAAAGCCTCGAAATTCTGAGTTGAATTTAGGAGGAAATTTAAATTCTAATGAAATGCATATTTCAGAGGGAATATATAGCGATCAGCCCCTTAAAACTTGTGAAATTTTAAGGACTGATGGAATAAATAGACTGGGTCAATGTCCTAGGGTTAACTTGAGAATTGACTGCAGGTATATTGATATGCTATTTGACACTGGTGCGAGCATTTCGATAATGTCTTGTGAAAATTTTTATAAATATTGGCCTAATGGCGTGATTATTAAAGAAAATATGTGTTTAAAACAGTTCGATGGTTCTGAAATTGAGGTTTTGGGTAAAACTCAATGGTATGTGGTTTTTAATGATACTATCATAAGTTTAGATTTATGGATAGTGGGAAAAGCAGTGGAAACTATTATGGGGTGGGATTGGATTACCACAATTGGACCCTATAATAATTATTGGAATTTATTTATTATTGATAGCGGATTAGCTAGTGATAAAGGAGATTTAATGGCGGATAATATCCGAGATGAACTTCAGAAAGAAGGGATATCTAAATTATTGAACGATGAAAATAGGATTGTCGGTAATAATAATTTTATTGAAACTCCTGAAAGGGTAGGGATCAGTTCTGATCATACAGAAATAAATGGTAAAATTGATAGGGATCAATTTATGGAAATTGAAATCGATGGATTAAAAATAATTGGTAAAAATGATAGGGATCAATTTATGGAAATTGAAATCGATGGATTAAAAAAGATCGATCTGGCTATACCTGTTTTGGTTAGAAAATATGGTATAATTTTTGAAGAAAAATTAGGACGTTTAAATGATTATCAAGTAGACGTTAAACTTAAAGAGGGTTTTTCACCCATCTTTTTGGCTTGTCGAAGAGTTCCTTTTGAGTGGAAAAGGGAAATCGATTAAGAATTGGATCAATGGGTTAGAGATGGCATCATTATTCCTGTGGAATATAGTGAGTGGGCCACACCATTGGTACCTGTTAGAAAATCGAATGGAAAGTTAAGGCTATGTGCTGATTTCCGTGTAACGTTAAATAGATGGGTAGTGGAGGTAAAATATCCATTGCCTAGGATTGAGGAAATTTTGGCCAGTTTAAAAGGTGCCAAGTATTTTTCCAAGGTTGATTTTTCTTTGGCTTATTTGCAATTGCCTTTGAAAGAGGAAATTCATAAATTATTTACAATAACGACTCCGAAAGGATTATTTGCCTTTTGTAGGCTACCGTTTGGATTAAGTGTGTCAGCGCCGATATTTCAGCGCACTATGGCATCAGTTTTCCAGGGCCTAGAAGGAGTTTATTATTATATGGATGATGTGTTGGTGACTGGTATAACACCAGAGCAACATAATCAACGTTTGGAAGAGGTTTTCAAGCGGATTCGTGATAAGGGTCTGAGGGCCAGCAAGGAAAAGAGTGTTCTTGGGGTAACGGAAGTTATCTACTTAGGACATCGCATAAATGGAATGGAGGTGAAACCTCTGGAAAAAAATTTAAAAAATATAACGAATATGAATCCGCCAACCAATAAAGCGGAGTTGCAATCATTTTTGGGAATGGTAAATTATTATCATCGTTTTGTGGAAGATTTTGCAAAATTGGCATCTCAATTGTATGGTTTATTAAAGAAAGGTGTTCATTTTGTGTGGAAAATTGAACAGAAAAATGCTTTTAATATTGGAAAAATTGGTGAGGAACCGATTTTGGTATATTTTAATAATGATTTAGAGATCATATTGGCAGTTGATGCATCCAACAAGGGGGTTGGAGGTGCATTGTTATATTTAATGGATGGTGTGGAAAGACCCATCATATTTTTTTCGAGAGTTTTCAGGGAAGTGGAAACTAGATATTCGGTTATTGAACAAGAAGCCCTAGCTGTTATCTTTGGATTAACCAAATGTCGTGAATATTTGATCGGTAAAAGATTTATAATTTACACGGATCATAAGCCGTTAATTCATTTATTTAAAAAAGATAATAAAGAGTTAATGTTGTCTCCCCGGTTGCAACGTTAGTTGTTACTGGTGGGAAGTTTTAATGTGGAAATCAGATATCGCAGGGGCAAGGAAAATTGTTTGCCTGATATTTTATCTAGGTTAGGATCCAGTGAAGGGGATCTTGACGGTAACAAAAGTATAATGGTGAATGAAGACAGGGTATTAATTTGTTTTTTATCACATATGTTAAAGGGTGGTCCTACGAATTGGGAGGATCTTAAAAGCAATACCTTAGGGGATAAGGAATTGGGTCGAGTAAAATTATTTTTGACGGGACAAGAACCGTGGAAAAATAATAGTAAAGTTTATAAAAAAATTGAAAAGGAATTGTTCGTAGTGGATGATTGTTTGATGCGGGGTAATAGAGCCGTGATTCCGTTGAAATTACGGAGTAAAATTGTACGATTGTTGCATGCAGGACATCAGGGTCGGGATAAAATAAAATCTTGGGCTCGTGAGTATGTATGGTGGCCTGGAATGAGCGATGATATTGAAAAGATTACAAGGAGTTGTATTCCATGTAATTCGTGTGCCGTTATGCCCCGGAAGGAAATAGGCAGTTATTGGCCGAGACCTGAAAGGCCGTGGGAGCGTGTTTACGTGGATTTCTTTAACTTAAACAAGAAGTCGTATTTTTTAGTTGTTGATGCATATTCTAAGTGGATTGAATATGAAGAGGTTCATGGATTAACCACTAGAATTGTTATCAAATTGTTACAAAGGTTATGGGCTAGATTTGGGATTCCAAAGACAATAGTGTCTGATGGAGGTCCGGCCTTTGTAAGTGAAAGTTTCAAAGATTTTTGTAATGCGATGGAAATTAAACACGTATTAGCTCCACAATATCATCCCAGTTCCAATAGACAGGCGGAGAGAATGGTAGCTATCGTGAAAAATTGGATTAAAAAGGCCAAACAAGAAAGTAATGATGTTTGGATGGCCCATTTATATTATAATAATTCCAGAAACCGAGAGGGAATTACTCCGGTGGAGTTATTTTTGGGAAGAAGGACCAGTATGCCGTTGGATTTCTTGAAATCCAAAGATGGAACTGGTGTACCTTCGGTTGATAAGATTGTAATAAAATATCCTGTGGGAAGAATTGTATGGGCCCGTTTGTTTGATAACAAAGGGAATAAATGGGAAAAAGGTCGTATAGTAGAAAACCTTGGTTCCAAATTAAATGAAATTTTGCTAATAAATGGAATAACGGTAATCAGACATAATGTTCACGTAAGGTTAGGAGAAAGTAAGAAAGGATAAAGATAATATGGAAATGCTTAAATATTAATCTTATCTGATTATTTTTCCAGAATGTTAGATTATTGGAATCATATAGCATAATGTGTTAAAGATGAATAATGAAATTTATTGTAGTAATATAGCATAATATGTTAGATGTGAATACTGAAAATATTGATTCTTTTGGGATACTCTGATAACGATACTTGCGTAGTATTGGGAGTAAGATACTATCATAAAGATAGGGGTAGGCTTCTTTGGGATTAAGTGTTAATGGAATCCATTAGAGGATGCTTAATTGAAACTTTGAAAAGCCTGGAAAATAAAGGGATTTTTATATTTCGGAGGGAGAACTCAACATCCTATAATTATACGGGATTATAATTGAGTCTCAGGGTATTGAAGGGCAAAGACAATTTTTTTTGTTTTCCCTTGAAGGAAGAGATTCCTTTGGTTATTTAAATAATCACGTAATTGATAAAATTAGTGGATTAAAACAAAATTATATAACTTAATGAATTAGTTGAATACTGAACAACTGGGGGTGTTTTGGTAATTTATGCTTTCGGTTACATGGTATAAAGTCCATCGGAGGAAAGTATTTTATTAATTTATTGATTATTTTATATACTCGAGTATCCTCATTGTAGAGTGATAGGAGTATAATATAAGTAATTAAATGGTATAACGAGGGAATAGTTTATGATTATGTTATATACCGAGCAGTTGTTTTTTTTTTCAAGGAAAGTAAAGAAAAAGTTAATAAAAAATGTAAATTTTTGCGATGGATGGACAGTGGAAAAAGAAAAAGAAAGTTATGT